TTGACTATGCCAAAGCCTTTGACTGTGTGGATCACAATAAACTGTGGAAAATTCTTTGAGAGATGGGAATAGCAGACCACCTTATCTGCCTCCTTAGAAATCTGCCTGCAGGTCAAGAAGCAACAGTTAGAACACGGAACAACATGTTCACATGGAACAACAGACTGGTTCCAAATTGGGAAAGGAGTCAGTCAAGGCTGTATATTGTCATCCTGCTTATTCAACTTATATGCAGAGTACATCATGCAAAATGCCAGGCTGGATGAAGCACAAGCTGGAATCAAGATTGTCGGGAGAAATATCAATCACCTCAGATATGCAGATGACACCACCCTTATGGCAGAAAGTGAAGAAGAACTAAAGAGCCTCTTGATAGTAAGAGGAGAGTGAAAAATCTGGCTTAAAACTCAACATTCAAAAAACAAAGATCATCACATCTCATCCCATCATTTCATGGCAAATAGATGGGGAAACAGTGAAAACAGTGACAGACTTTCTTTTCTTGGGCTCCTAAATCACTGCAGATGGTGACTGCTTTCATGAAATTAAAAGATGCTTGCTCCTGGAAGAAAAGCTGCAACAAGCCTAGACAGAATATTTAAAAACATAGACATTACTTTGCTGACAAAGATCCATCTAGTCAAAGCCATGGTTTTTCCAGTAGTCATGTATGGATGTGAGAGCTGGACCATAAAGAAAGCTGAGTGCTGAAGAATTGGTGCTTTCGAACTGTGGGGTTGGAGAAGCCTCTTGAGAGTCCCTTGGACTGCAAGGAGCTCCAGCCAGTCAGTCTCAGAGGAAATCAATCCTAAATATTCATTGGAAGGACTGATGCTGAAGCTGAAGCTCCAATACTTGGGCCACCTGATGTGAAGAACTGACTGATTGGAAAAGACCCTGATGCTGGGAAAGTTTGAAGGCAGGAGGAGAAGGGGATGATAGAGAATGAGATGGTTGGATGGTATCACTGACTCGATGGACATGAGTTTGAGCAAGGTCTGGGAGTTGGTGATAGACAGGGAAGCATGCCGTACTGCAGTCCATGGGGTCACACAAAAAGTTGGACACAACTGAGCGACTGAACTGAACTGAAGCAATCCCTAGAAGGTAAAACCATAATATAGGAATGGAATCTTCCTCAGGGCCCCTTCTTCATGGGAGCCCCTGGCACTCCATCAATACTGAGTGTCCTTCCATAGCCCAAGAATCACCATTTAATATCTCATCAAGGCCCATTATCTGCTTGGCAGTCTTCAACCCTGGTACTTACCCCAGATTACTCCTCACCTCATCATAATTTACCTGCTCTCTCTTAAAATCTTATTGTTAATTTACATATTCATGCCAGTGAAGAGCCTATATATTTTTGACAGGGATCCCAGAGAAATAATACAGGATGATTGTTCTCAAATGTGTTATTGGTAGCAGTAATGAGAGCTGATAAATTGAGTGCTCACTCTTGTGCCAAGTCACACATGTGTTGTAGATGGTACCTCATACGAGCTTCACAACATCCTATGAGCTTCGTTTCACAGATGAAGAAACCGAGGTTTAGAGAGATGAAGTCACTTGGCCAAGGACAAACAAATACTGGGAAGAGGCAATGCTGGAATTCACCCCTGGATCTGCCACTCTCACCAGTGATCCTCTCAGGTCCTGGGATGTCCCTGCCTCCCTAAGCTTGATCCTGCTCCTAGGACCCAAATGAATTCCTGCTTTCAGTCAAGTTACTTGGAATCAAGGTAGTTGAGAGCTACCTCAGAAGAGGTGTTGGGAAGTTCAGAGGGGTACATCCTGGCAGTGGGCCTCCAGGCTGCCCCTAGACTATACACGGCTCCAGCCAAAGGGCCATGCTGGGACCTTTGTGTCCCAGGAGCTAAATCCTGAATATTTTATTTGTAATGGCCTGAATGGGTGACTGGTTGGAGGAAGAAGTAATTTATGAATATTTTGTTTCATTCATTATCTACTATTGAATCAAATTCTAAAGTCTAAATCTAAAAGAAAAATCTGTAGATTTTCTTGTATTTTGCTCATCTCAGAATTTTCCTGGTTCAGAAACTCTTCAACAATGGAGTAATGAACCTCCCAATAAACTTGCACCTCAGGAAATATTCTTTGTCTTCAAACTGACTTGTGTCTGTAGGACAGCATTTTCTAAGTAGTAATCTAAGTATCGCATCCTTGTTGAGAAATTCAGAGCACCACATACTTGTCATCTGGTGGTAAAAGGTAGTAATAACTAATAGTAGTAATAGTAATTCAATATTTTACACTTATTGAGAGCCGATAACCATTCTATGCATTGTGCTAGGCAGAATCATTGGATATACATGCTACGTGTGGGAGTGGGAACAGTCATCTTTCCTATTCACAGGTGAGGATGCTTAACCTCTTAGGCACCAAGAGGTTAGGAAATGTGTTCAGTCATAAAGTTTGTAAATAGAAAGCTGGTCTTAAATCCAAGTAGTCTGACTACTAATTTTATTTCCTTGTACTGTTAAAAGAGCCAGTTCTCCTCTATCCATTTATCAACTAAATCATTTATATATTTTGGCAAAGAAGATGAAAGCCAAAGTTTATTTGGAACTTTAAGCAGTCCCACCAAACCCTGTTACAGTGGTGAGAGTGATAGTCTCCACTGGAGGGCTACCCTATTAGGATGGCGTTTTGAAATTGAAGATGAGTGATATTATATCAGCTTTCCTCATCCTTTCAGTTCATTTCAGTCACTCTTTGCAACTCTTTGCGACCCCATGGACTGCAGCACACCAGGCCTCCCTGTCCATCACCAACTCCTGGAGTTTACTCACACTCATGTCCACTGAGTCGGTGATGCCATCCAACCATCTCATCCTCTGTTGTCCCCTTCTCCTACCACCTTCAATCTTTCCCAGCATCAGGATCTTTTCAAATGAGTCAGCTCTTTGCATCAGGTGGCCAAAGTATTGGAGTTTCAGCTTCAACATCAGTCCTTCCAATGAACACTCATGACTGATCTCCTTTAGGATGGACTGATTGGATCTCCTTGCAGTCCAAGGGACTCTCAAGAGTCTTCTCCAACACCATAGTTCAAAAGCATCAATTCTTCAGTGCTCAGCTTCCTTTATAGTCCAACTCTCACATCCATACATGACCACTGGAAAAACCATAGCCTCAACTAGACGGACCTTTGTTGACAAAGTAATGTCTCTGCTTTTTAATATGCTGTCTAGGTTGCCTCATCCTTTATGCTTAGCTTTTCTCATAGTTTTAATAACTTCACTATCTGGATAATATATTCCTCTAGGTAACACTGATACAACTCTTTTTGTACAACACGAAACAAAAATATTCTTTTTTATGGAGAATATACAACACAAAAATATCCTTAGTCTAAAATTTTGGGGTTACTTTTCACTGATCGTGACAGAGAAGAAAAAGAAAATAACAGGTGACCTCCAAATTAAAATATATGGAGATACTTTCACCTCAAATTCAAACTTGATTCACCAAATATCTGATTTTTTTAGCACAAAGTTTAAAGAAATTTTTAATGTCTCTCCTACATTTTTTCAGCCAAAACTTAAATTTATTGAGAATCTTAGTATAGAAAGTTTCGATTCCAATTTATAACAATTATTCTTTTTGAAAATCAGAACTCAAGGGAGTCCTATGGTGGCAGAGCTTATGCCTTCATAAGATTAAAGGTTACAGTTTAAAATTTTAAGTCTTTCACTGAAAAAGCCTTGAAAGTGAGGTCAATAAAATTGTTACCTTACTTTTTAATAATAATGACTAGAAAATTTTCCATTTCTTTGCATTTAATTTTCCATGTTTATCATATGGCTTATGTACCATGCATATGATCTCTTGAACTTTAGTGGATTTATGAAGCCAAAGACAAAAACAGGCAAATAAAGAAACAACAACAACTCTGTTCTGTTACACTAAACATTTCCCAGTGTTCTGCCTGATTCTAATTACCTTAAACAATTTACCCAGGATGCTTCAGTATAACCACCTGGAAAAATGAGGGTGGAACTTTGATCCTGGGAGGCATATGGAAATTTAATTACTAGATTTACAAAGTATTTTAAAACCCCCAGATAAAATTGACCAGAGGACTGGAGAAGAATATCCTCATTAGCAATAGTGGGGTTATATGGAATGGTGGGAGTTTCTGAGACTCAAAAGCCTGTGTCTGTTTTGCTACATTGGCCCCTCAGCCCCATCTTCTACAACCAGCCTCAAGGGGAAGTGGAGAAAGAATCATTTATTCACCTTCTGGCTGCAAGAACTGCAGATTTCAACTGTGGCAGTTCTAGCACTGAGGAGAAAACACACATAGGAAAAAAGAAGGCCATGTCTCACTTCCAAATTAAAAAAAGACATTTCTACATGTTTCCATAACCCACAGACTGCTGCCATTTGAGGCCAACCCCCTCCAAGTTTTCCTCTTTGTCTAATGTAGTTGCTAAATCTAGGCCACTGTCAGCAGTCCTTTTCATTCACCCAGGCCCATCCCCACACCCCACAGATGCAGAGATTCTCTGGAGACATGTGTACTCTGGTATCAAACAATGCAACTCATGTTTGATTTTGGATAACCTTGCACTGCTGAATAAAATAACCCTTGAGAAAGAAGCAATAAAAGCACTGTAAGAAAAATGACTCATGTTTCCAAGCTGTCTAAAGTGATCACTTATCCCAACAAATGGTAATTCTTTCAAGACACAGTGGGCATGCACCATACTTATAAAAGTCTGGGAGAAAAGCCTTGCAAATCATTTTTTTTTAATTCGTGTTAAAATGTATCAAAAGAATATTTCTGGTAGGGTGTACCAGACAGGGTATGCTTGAAAACAAAAACCACATGGATGTGAAAGCCAAGGTGCTCTGGCCCAGGGAGGCAGTGGGGTGGGGTGGGGGTGGGGTCTCTGCGGAGCATCCACGCTTATTGTTTGTGTACTTGTTTATGTGTCTCTGATTGTTTTCCCTTTTCTTCCCCCACTTGTTAGAGTGCAAAGATGTGAACAAAGTGGCTTACTGCCCACTGGTGCTGAAGTTCAAGTTCTGTAGTCGAGCATACTTCAGACAGATGTGTTGTAAGACCTGCCAAGGACACTGACCCGCGGAAAGCCAGAGAGCGCCTTGTCACTTCATCGTGGAAATGTATCCATCAGAGAGCCACCCAGAGGAAGAGGATTGATGTCCTTGCAAATGCATTACCCTGTGGAAAACGTAACCACTGGTCAGCCCTAGCTGACAGGATTTCAATATTATTTTAACTTCTGTGAAGTGGGATTTATTGATCCAAAGTGCTGGACACGGTAGTAGGAGGGAATGCCAGATTGGAGAGATCCAAACAACACAGGGAGACTTGCTTACTGTGGAACCTTTGTGTTCTTTCGAGTAAATCCAATAGCCTGTTTACCTCCTTGGACCATTAAGATAATTTTTATTATGGACTTAGCAATGACACTGAATCCATTTGTGTTTAAAACTGTTTAAAATGTAGCTGTTTTGACTTGGTCAACTATTGAAGTAAAGAAGATTCAGAAATCTTAAGTCATAGCTTAAAAATATTTACTATACTTTATCTCACTACAACAGCACCACAATTTAAATTCTAAAATGGGCTTTGAACTGTAATTTAAGGAGCAATTATAAATCAGAAGTAATGAAAGTTTGTATTATTTTTCTTCATTCCACTTAATTTCCTTGGGAATAATCCCCCTGTTCTGAACACTGCTGTGAGCCATATATAAACTATATTAAACTGAACAACAATGAAGGACTTAGTTTAAAGCAGTGCATCAGTTACTGCGGCTGTGCAAGTCTATAAATTCACTGCTCAAAGACTGTGGCCAACTTGCCATTGTGCAAGTGAAGCTGAGATTTCCATTAAAACTTTAAGAGAAAAACATGTCAGTTTCATGCAGAAGCAGACCTGGGGTATGGTAGAGACTGAAGCACCAGGCCTTTTGCTGCCAGCACACAGGCTGCCTCAGTTCTCATTTGAGTCACCCCAACTCACTCGTGTTTACACCCTCTCCAGCCACAGACGGCTTCTGCCCTGTTGGATCGTTGCATATGCACGCTGGGCTTGCTGAGATGATACCATGCAAAAGACAGACTGGCTCGGTGACAACCAGGCAGACCCTTTTGCTGACAATTCTGATGGGTTCCAGATGTCCCTTCTTTGATATGGCAGAGGGGCATTTATTTATATGAGAGCAAGTGTGTGTGTGTGTGTGTGTGTGTGTGTGTGTGTGGGTGCTTTTGAGTGTGTGGGTAGATGAGTGTGCTTGCACATAGATGTGCTATTTCTGTGAGTTCTAAGGTAGGCAAGGGACAATAACCAAAGAAGAAAAACTCATGAAGACTAGAGATCATAAAGCATCATTTTAGTAGTCACCTAACCAAGGATTTTGTATTTTTTATGGATACTCTGAATGGCAATTAAATGTGAAACCCAGTTTCTTGGGTAGCTCAAATTCTAGAATCAAATCCACCTAAATTAAATTGACTAGCTCACATTTTCCCTGTCCACAAGTTTCACATCATGCTCATTAAAAAGATGTGACAGATTTTTTAAGAAGAGAAACAAAAAGAGGGTACTTGCTTATATGAATATGTTGTACTTGAACACTTGCAGCAGGATCTTGACGAATGTGTTTTGTGTCCAAAACACAAGTGCACCATGCGACACCAACACCTCAAACTCAAACCAAATGGCTACTTTGCAAGATACTACTTGCAGCTAAAGAGTGTGTTTGAGTTAAACCCTCACTGTGCTCTGAAATGACGTGTCAGGTGTATCATACACCGTGACCTAAGAGTGGTTGGTTAGGTTTTTCAGAAAGGAAGAGAAACTCATGCTCTTCAAAAACCAAACTAAACGTCAGGTTTGCTGTGGACAGGCAGCCTGGGACGTTTATTGCTTGGCATGCCCAGTCATGGTCGTCTGTGTCTCCTCGCCTGCTTTCTCTCTCAACACCACAGCTCACATCCCTGAGTTTCCAGAGAGGGCTGTTGACAGTGGACGAGAGTGGCCAGTGCGTCTCTCTCTGCTGCCTTGGAAGACAGCCCAGGTGCCACCTCCGCCAATCAGTGAAGGGCAGGCAGCCCGCAAGCACTGACTTCCTTTGGTCCCTTGCAAAAAGCAGTTAACTCGGTGCTAACGTGCCTGGTGAAATAAAATAAACCAACAAAGGACAGGTGGTTTCTGTGGCACCTTTTAGACATAGGTTTGCTGTCAGGATTTGCTTTTTTCCAACGTAAATGCCAGCTTATGTTTTTATTTCAAGAAGATTTCTTACATTGCTGACTAGAGGCTCCTTTCCCCCTCACCCAGGAACTAACATTGTAAGGGCCATAACCCTGGGCCCCCTGCAGCTCCCCAGCTGGTGCTAGAAAGGAGGGTAGCCGTGTCCCTCTGGGGGCTGTGCAGCGGCAAGGCCAGGGGGCAGAGAGCACCTGGAAACAGCATCAGATTACTTTCTGGAAAGATCGAAGCACAGAATATACAACAGGACTAAACTTTCGATTGGCCTCGAGTTTATACCTGACTGAGAAAGTCATATTCCAAACCGCATCACAACATTGCTGCTGCTCTGTTGTCCATCACGTGGCTGCATGATGCCCTGTTCCTAAATATTAACAGTAGGATTGTCTGTGGAGGCTGAGCCACCCTCGCAGGCCCTCCAAAAGGAGTGAGCTATGTAGGCTACTTAGAGAAGCCTAAGGAAACTGGCACCCCATGACCGAGAGCAGTATCTGCCACTGCATAGAGACCCACCAAAAAAGGCAAGGTAAGCGTAGCCAACTGACTCCCTGAACAGTCCATTTCATTAGGAATTTTATTATTTGAGTGAATGTCACATAGGTATCCTTAATAATACAGAATGAAATTACCTTTGTATTATTGTGATTAGTTGTTGCTTATTTTATATTCAGTATTAATGTGGTACACTGTTACTTTTTTTTTTTTTTGCTTTGTAAATTATATTCTAATTTATTGCCATGTTTCCTAACACTTGTTCTACATTCAGTCTCCTGCTTGTAATGAAAATGAAAAAGTCATTGTAACACTTGATGGAGTGAAATTCCACACCAGGCACAGATTTTTTTAACATAGATTATTTAGTAAAAATAAAAATTCAGCTTGTAAGAATGATTCAGATGGAAGTTGTCTATTCCCTGAAAGGCTGGTGTTAAACTCACGGTAGGAGAACTCTCTCCCTTGCAATACCATACTGCAGTGAAAGTGAAATGGAAGTGTTAGTCACGTCTGACTCTTTGCAACCTTATGGACTGTAGCCTGCCAGGCTCCTTTGTCCATGGGATTCTCCAGGTGAGAATACTGGAATGGGTAACTGTTCCCTTCTCCAGGGGATCTTCCAAATCCAGGGATCAAACCCACGTCTCCTGCACTACAGACAAATTCTTTACCATCTGTCACCAAGGAAGCCCCTACATTGTCTAAATTTTCCAGGAAGTGTCTGGATTGAGCTAACTTGCTGCATTCTTTTTTCTTTTTTTGGCCACACTGCGAAGAATGCAGGATCTTAGTTCTCTGACCAAGGATCAAACCCACACTCCCAGCAGTGGAAGCTCCGAGTCTCAACTGCTGGACTGCCAGGGAAGTCCCACTTGTTGCCTTCTTATTACCCTCCTCACGATTACATCGACTTGTATGTCAGTAACATCTAAATGCAGGCCTCGGTTATTTCTGGTGGGCTATATCCCCAGATGCCACCAGCCAGCTGTTCTAAGGCCGGAAGGGAAGCCAGGTTGGCCTCTGCCACGCAACTTTAGTCACACGGCCCACAACTCTTTTGCCCTCTCCTTTTTGCCTTACATGTAAGCTCTTTAGCATAGACACAAGGTATTTCATTGGAGAAAGGGTGCTGAACAAAGAATTTATGCTTGAAGGGTTTTTCTATTCATATTCAACTAGGAACAAAGAACATGATAAGCATACTTTGCTACCTTTAGATGTTTCCTCTTAGGCTGAGCCACTTTGCTGAACTGGGGGATCCTATCATATGGAAAGGCAACAGTTAATAGGAAGCTTAGCAACTAATAAGTTGTCCCTCCTGCATGCTTAGCTATTTCAACACTTTCATAATGACAGCTTCATCAGTTATATTAAAAGATGTGCACTGTCCAAAACATGTTTGTGCTTTAATCCACTCACTCCCATATCCCTACCCTCCACATTCAGTTGTAAACGTTAGAAGGAATCAAATAAGGTGATTAGATAGTCCTGGGGGCTGGTTCCTGAAAGTCGTCTTAGGAGCTGAGAACAGTGAAGTATTATGAATGCTCAGTTAAGAAGAAGACCCTGGCACCAACTAGTTCAGCCTCCCACTGCATCTGCTACCATGGGTCAGGGAGGGGGAATATCAACCAAGAAATGTCTGGCTTTAGCTTTGATTCCTCAGATTCAAATCTGCCTTTTCATCTACAGTTGTTTTCAAGCTTCTGGTTAAATGTTTCTCCCCTTGTGAAATACCTAACTGTCACTATCTTGCCTAGGTCACTGACCCCAAGGACAGTCTGCCTTTCTAAAGATTTTGCCACTGCTGGAGGAGCAGTGTGACCCTTCAGCCTTATGCTCCAAGAGGCCAGGTGACTTTTTTTTCAAGTAAATTAGGAAGAAATTTGGGTATTGATCTTGGTAACGAAAATAATGTGAATTTGTGTGGCAAGGGTAAGATTCATTCCTTTTAAAAGAAGGGAAAAGAAATGTAATTCAGGGAGAAATAAAAAAAAAGTCATAGCCCAGAAGGACTGGAAAATTCTAAATAAGTGGTCACAGAAAAAAGATCACTCACTGAATTTAAAAAGTTATATTATTTTTGCAATTCTGTCTCATTCATATCATCAGAATGTGTGGACTAAACTAACACATGGTTTTAAAAAAAGCAGCTGTTCACAATGGTTTTGTGCCTTAGACTTCAAAACCTCAGGCTGGAACTTAAAAGGAAAATGGTCTCTTCTCCCGTTTCTTTCTCAGAGGGTTATTTCTAGCCTCGTTCATCCCTCATTTCATCCACAGATGATATCTGAGGCCAGAAATGGAACAGTGGTTTGAGGGCTGGCTCGGATCTGTGGAGCAAA